GTGAAAAATATTAAGTCTATATTCCAAAAAAATAAATACATTCTGGAGGCCATATATTGTAGTATAAATGCAATAGTTCGGCAGCACTAGCATAAGAAATTCACCTGCTATCCCTTTTTGTTAAGTTCAAAAGAACACACTTAAATAATGTGTTTTAGAAATAGGCACCTAAGTGAAATAAGTCAGACAGAAAAAGTTAAGAACCATATGATTTCACTCATATGTAGGGTATAAAACTGAAAGCAACAAACAAACAAGACAAACAAACAAAAACTTATATAGACACAGACAAGAGTTTAGTGGTTACTAGAGGGTAAGGGGGCGGGGCACAGGGGTGATGGTAGAAGAGGGTAAAGAGGGTTAAATATATGGTGATAGAAGGAGAACTGACTGGGTGGTGAACACACAATGCAATATATAGATGATGTATTATAGAATTATTCACTTGAAACCTATATAATTCTATTAACCAACGGCACCCCAATAAATTTAAAAAAGAAATATCCACTATGAAACAGATATACTAATTTAAATAAGCACAATGAAATGTTTATATTATAGTAGACATACTTCATAAATAGTAGTATAACCCATCATAGAAACATTATAAATTGTTCACATGTAGATAAGATTTCAAATCTAATGCCTAATCCTTTTAATATTTATTGTTTTTACAGTGTTTCTGGAAATGGACCAGCATACAAAACCCCCAGGGTAGCCATAGAAAAGCAACTCCAGCAAGGAATTTTCCCAGTTAAAAATGGCAGAAAGGTATCATGCATGAAGAGTACTCTTCTCCTTAAAGGGAAAAACCTCGCCAGGAGCAGTTCCGATAAACAGCGGTCTACCATGCCAAATCGACACACGTTACAAACAGACAGACTTTATTTGTTTGGGAATCGGGTACCACAAACATCTTCAGATATCGGTAATGCAAATCACAGAACAGGCGTATCATTTTCTTTTTCCAAAAAAGTGCATGTAAAATTAGAGTCTTCCGCATCAGTTTTCAGTGAGAACACGGAAGAGACCCATGATTGTAACAAGTCAACCATCTATAAGACAAAACAAACTGTGGAGAAA